GCCGACGCTCTAACTGCTGAGCCAAACTGGCCAGGGCTGTATATAAAGTTTAAATAAAAAATTTCCACCTTTTCTTCTGGCTATTATTATTATTTGTTTTACTTCATGCTTATTATCGAAAATAACTTTGACATATAGGGGGTGAAAGGCTTAAAATATGACCTATTTCAAGTGACAAATATGCTATGTTTGTGCCCCCTAAAATTGGGGACCTGAGAGTGGGAGGAACCTGTGAGCCACTCCATCGGAAACTTTCACCAGTTGCCAGCACTCTGGATGCTCCTCGGCCGCCAAGGTGAGGGGCACCAGGACAGAGGTGGCTAAGCGCCCGGAAGGGCATGCTGGCACACCCAGCCCCTCGAGGCCTCGGATGGGTCAGAACAGCTGAAGCTGAGACTTGACGTCCTGAAGGAGCTTCAGGGCCTTGGGGAGGGTGCACCCTACTGGGAAGTGATGGAACCACACCTTCGGGAAATAACAGAACCATGGGTTCTCTGCAAGATGCCAGAAGAGACCACGACAGTCACAGACCACGACAGGATGCGTTCGTTGGGGGCAGATACCAGCACAGGACGGACGGGAGGGGTCGACCAGACTCCAGTCCTCTCCTGTGTCACTTGCATTCCATCCTTGGACTCAGAGAACAAGTGGTACAAAGAGGTGGTAATATTTTTTTCTCAGTTACATTTTTGCACAACCTAGTTTCTTGGCTTCAAAGAAAATCCCAAAGTAACTTTTACACTGGTGAGTAAAACCCAAATACCTCAAAAAGGAAAATCGCTTCCTTGTTTTCCGACAAGACTGCATCGAAGTCTTACATGGAGGACAGGAAGAGCTGGGGCCTCTCTCCTGCCAGTGTCTCCGCCAGAGGCTGAATTTTTACCCCTGAATCCCCAGACGCTAACACAGAAAATGGGAGGTGTGGTGGGGACCGCTAGGGTCAGCCCGCATGTGGGGTGTCCCCCCCACTGTCTTCAGGACAGAGGCTAGGAGTGTTGATGGCTGACAGCTCCCAACTGAGCCCCTCTGTGGGCGGGCCACCCCCTTGCCTTTGGCAGCCTGCAGTCCCCGACAGCAAACTGAGAGCTGTGAGGGACCGTCCCTCTTGTCCCGGTGCAGGTTCGGTCCCTGGCCCTGTTCGGGGTCGTGCAGGAGGCAACCAGTCAATGTGTCTCTCTCCCTCACTCCTCCTCTATCTGTGGGGACACCCCAGCTCCAGAGCTCGCTGTGGGACTGCACTCCAGTTCCGCTTCCCCCACTTCCCTCAGCAAACCTGCTGCCCAAAAACCTCCATCTCAGAGTCTGTGTCCCGGGAGCCTGAGTGGCAACAGTAGATCCTCTAACAAAACCACGAACCCGCCCTGGCCGGTTTGGCTCAGCGGTTAGAGCATCGGCCTGCGGTCCGAAGAGACCCGGGTTCGGTTCCCGTTAAGGGCACGTACTTTGGTTGCAGTTTGTCCCCGGCCCTGGTTGGTTGTGCGGGTGGCAGCCACTCGATGTGTCCCTTTCACGTCGATGTTTCTCTCTCTCTCTCTCCCTCTCTCTCCCTCCCACTCTATCTGTACAAAAATTGGAAAAATGTCCTCGGGTGAGGATAAAAAAAAAACCCACGAACCCCAGACACGCACTTCTCCCGAAGCAGCCTATGGGGGCATATCTGCTAACAAGTGTTACCCAGGCGTCTCGTGCCACAGGAGGCGTCTCCAAGGAACCTCGGCCCCGGCCTAGACAGCAGGATCAGCTTTGTGCGTGAGCCTGTGAGGGGTCCTGCTGGAAGAAAGGAGCAGGGACCAAAGCTTGTAGGGTGTAAGGTGGTCGCTGGCCGTCTGTCCCGGCTCCGTGCTGCCTCCTGCACAAAACCACAGGTTCTAACTGGGGCGTCGCCCGTTCCGAGGCTGCTGTCCGGAAGCCCGAGTCCAGCTGCTCTCTTTCTAGTCCAGAATGCGGCAGTCGCTTCAGCCAGCAGACTCCTCCCTGCGCTGAAGCTACTCGGTTGTTTTCCGGCGCTGGCGACGGAGAGTCCGAGCACAGACCGGGGAGTAACGCGGCGGTTTTCAACCACTGTCTTCTCACGGCGCAATAAACTACTTGCTAAAATGCTGCGGGACCAGAAAGAGCACCGTTCCAGAGCGAGGAGACTTCAAGAAGTCTCTGACAGGGCCCGGGCTGGTGTGCTCAGTGGTTAGAGTCTCAGCGCGGGTTTACCAGTGAAGGGCATGTACTTGGGTTGCAGGTTTGATCCCCCCACCCTGCCAGGGTATGTGGGGGAGGCAACCAATCAATGTGTCTCTCTCACCTCAATGTTTCTCTCTCTCTGCCTCTCTACCTCCCTTCCACTCTCGGAAAAAAAATCAATGGAAAAAAATACCCTTGGGTGAGGATTAAAAAAAAAAGCAGTCTCTGACAGATCTTTTCCCTGTGTTTGGAGAGTGACAAGTCAATCACATCGTATGTGCTTCTTTCCACACTTTTCCTAATACCATCTGTCTGCCACAGTCCTGCTGTGCAAAGCCTGGGAGCATGCTCTTGATGCACAAGGCCGGGCCTCCCCAGCCCACCTTCCCCAGCCCAGCCTTGCAGAGTAAGTCGCCAGGGCGATGAAGGCAGCCTGGCCAGTGACCTGTGAGGAGCTCTGAGAGGCTGTTCTCCCGCTGCCCAAACTGTCCCTACCATTACACACCTGGGTGCCTTACGTCCCTCTTCCCCTAGCATCCCTGGGATCACTATAAAGCCAACGCCGGGCCTTCTGTCCATTAAGGAACATGGCACGTTCAGGTTCTCTGACTTTCCCTGTGACACGCCAAGTGAACCAATACCACCGCTGCCCCCACTCGCCTGTTCGCACCAAGGAAAAAGGAATAAAGGCTGGGAAATAAGCACTCAAACAAGAGGCCAGCATTTAACAACTCAGAAACGTTTGCTTTCAGATGATTTGCCCTTAATATCCGCCCCTCCCCCCCCAGCAGTGAGGATGTGCTTCTATCAACAAGACTGAAGAGGCTCGCCCGGTGGTCCCACTGGGCGTGTTACCCTGGAGCGCAGACGCTGCTGCAGGCTTTTGGCAGCAGGCGAGGCAAGCGGCGTGCATCCTGCTCAGGCTTCACCCCCAGCTCCGGAGCAGGAGGCCGCCGCCTGCCCCATGTCCACGGCGCCTCCTGCCCTCCCAGCCCGCTCAGGCCTTCTCACCACCACCCCTGACCCCTGCTTGTGGGCACTTAGTAGACACTCAAAAATGTCTGTTGGCCCTGGCCGGTTTTGCTCAGTGGTTACAGCGTTGACTCATGGACCAAAGAGTCGCGGGTTCAATTGCAGTCAAGGGCATGTACCTCGGTTGCGGTTCGGTCCCTGGCCCTGGTTGAGGTCGTGCGGGAGGCAGCCAATCGATGTCCTCTCTCATATTGATGTTTCTCTCTCTCTCCCTCTCTCACTCTATCTGAAGATAAATGGAAAAATATCCTTGGGTAAGGATTTATTTATTTTATTTTATTTTATCCTCATTTGTGGACATTTTTCCATTTTTTGTACAGACAGAGTGGGAGGGAGAGAGAAGAAGAGAGAGAGAGGGAAACATCGATGTGAAAGGGACACATCGAGTGGCTGCCACCCGCACGACCAACCAGGGCCGGGGACAAACTGCAACCGAGGCACGTGCCCTTAGCCGGAACCGAACCCAGGTCTCTCCGGACCGCAGGCCGACGCTCTAACCGCTGAGCCAAACCGGCCAGGGCTCGGGTAAGGATTAAAAAAAAAAGGCTGTTGGATGAATGAGTGAACATCAGCCCTGATATGCGCCTGAGGGTCTCTGTCCGAACCAGAAAGAAGCCAGAGAAGTATCTTTCTGTCCTAAACCTAAGTAAGACATGGACGAGTCCTTTGTTCAGAAGTTACCAAACACTCCCTGGAAGGTGGGGGGTGGGGGTGTTGTTTGTTAAACAGATAACATCCAGTTTGACTGATTAATAATTTGTATGGTCTGTGACTTCGAAGTCATCTTCAGATCAAAAGGTTCACTAATACAAGACCGAGTTAGTTCAAAGCTAAAAGGAAGACACTTTATAAAATATAAATTCTTGGTGCTTGGTTCTGCTTCAAAGGAAGTCTCACCCTGGACTGTGTAATGAGTAAAGAGACTGAAGGGAGAAGTATGGGGAACTCGACTGATTCTGGACGGTGGGGAGGAGATGCTTGTGGGAACCACAGGCAACGTTTCATCCTGGTCAGGAGTCACCGAAACGAGGGTGTGCCCCGCCTCCCAGCACCGGGACTGAGCACACAGAGAGGCCGCTGGCTGGGGAAGGGCGGATGGAAGACCATCGAGAACGCACACCCAGACTCCAGTGTCAGATCCAGGAGGGCCGGGCAAGGCGGACTCCTAACAAAAGAACGGAGGGAAAGAAATCGAGGAGCCTCACTGCGGATTTATTTTCTCCAAATGGGAGAAAGTCTCTGGGGAGATCCTAACAGATTTTATGGGTTCCATCTGCTCTCGTCCACATTCTTCCCGTTCCCCCGCTTTCTCGAGTAGCTCCAGCTCCCAACGGGCACTGACGATCCCCAATCAGAGTGTACGTCTTCCATCATGCCAACATTCTTCCAAACACCAAAAGCACCCCTTCCTTCCCCTCATTCACACAGCGGAAAGTCCATCGGTTAAATTACTGGGAACATTCCAGCAGAGGTTTCCAGGATGTATTAGGTGGTATCCAAGCATCACCGACTATGTTCAGCCTAAGAAACAAGTAGGACCCCTCTTTCTGCAAAGAGAGCAGAATGAAATGCCAGCCCTTTACCCCATGCCTCACAGTTGCAGAATAAACATTAGATTCTTCCTACCCTAAGAGTTCACCGACCTAATCACATATGTCAGATGTATTTCTAAAGGGGTAATTGGGTACATTTCAGATTCTTTCAGAAGCTCACACTCTTCTCACATGGGGCCACTGAACAAGGAAGACAAGGGGAGGGACGTTCTCCTCGCTGTCACTAGCTCCTCCTTGTCCTCAGCCCCTCTCGGCGGTCACTGCTTTGGGCCGCACGCTCTCCATGACAGCTGAGATCACCGCTCCGGCAGCCTTGGCTCCTTGCATCAGGGCGTGCTCCACCTGCCGGCAGATCAGTTCACGGGCACTCAGAGAGGACCCTGGGCTTGCGCCCTGCCCTGCCCCGGCCTTGCCAGTCCCTTCCAGGAACTGGCCTGCCCGGGGGCTTTTCCTACGGCAGGAAGCAACCTGTGCTCTGTATTTGCAAAGGTCCTAAAGCTGCGAGAGACCTGGAGAAGCCGGGATGGCTCGGGAAGGACATCTGAGGCAGGCGCGCTCCCTTCCCCCGGTGTGGGGCCACTGGGCTCCCGGACCCTTCCTTCCTCAAAGCCTTCAGCCTCGGGTCTGCCTCCACTCTGGGGCTCAGAGGCAAAGGATCTCAGAGTAGCACTGCCCCTGAGGCCCTCACTTTACATGTATGTACGCCGAGAGCCAAGGAGGGAACTCACTTGGACAGCGTCACACAGGGAATTAGTGTCCAAGGTAGATCGGGGCCCAGGCTTCTGAGGAAGGAAGGCCTCCTATAGTCCCTTGACCCTTGGGGTCTTTTTTTCTTTTTCTTTTCTTTTCTTTTTTTAATCCTCACCCGAGGACGTTTGCATTTATATTCAGATAGAGCGGGAGGGAGAGAGGGTGGAAGAGAGAGAGAGAAACATCGATGTGAGAGAGACACATCGACTGGCTGCCACCCACAGGACCCCAGCCGGGGCTGGGGACAAACTGCAACCAAGGTACATGCCCTTACCGGGAACCGAACCCGGGACTCTCTGGTCCGCAGGCCGAGGCTCTAACCGCTGAGCCAAACTGGCCAGGGCAGGGGTCTTCTTTTCATGTGCAAATGCTCATGGGATGGGAGCACCCTCACACCAGCGCCCCCAAGGCCCCAGCGCTGCGGAAGGCCTCCCGGGAGGGCAATACCAGCTGGGAGAGGACGGGCACAACAGAGGACGACGTTGCGGAAAGCGAGAGACGGGAGAGAGAGCGTGAGGCCCCCTGCGGTCGCTGCGGGATGGCAAAGCACAGGAGAGAGGCCAATGCTGGGATTTGCCCGGTGTGTTAAGAAAACATAGGAAATGTGGAAAAGAACATAGAAAAACAACGTGCCACATTTAATCCTTGATGTAAAAACAATCTATCACAAAGGTGATGGTACTTCCTCTGCTCACTAGGGACCAAACAGTAACAAGAGCAGCCCACACTGCCGCAGGGACCTGGGTTTCCTCAGCTCATGTGCATTGCACTGTGCTCACCGCGTCACCGCGCTCGAGTATGGGGGCGGCACAAACCCTGATGCAGTCAGTGGTGCCAGGCAGGTGATGTGGGTGAAGCTAGTAGGTGGCACACCTACCCCCCACCCATCTAAAGAGGGAGCCATGACTGGGTCCCACAGCGTGTCAGCAAGAAGGAACAGGGGCCCAACGGCCTGATCAGTTGGTTGTTTAGAGAGGATGGGAAACCATATCTTTTTATATAAAATGCATATATATGTGTGTGTGTGTGTGGATATTTTTTTTAAATCCTCACCCGAGGATATTTTTACATTAATCTTCCGATAGAGCTGGAGGGAGAGAGAGAAAGAGAGAGAAACATCAATGTGAGACACATCGATTGGGTGTTACCCACACAACCCCAGCCAGGGCCGGGGACCGAACTGCAACCGAGGTATGTGCCCTTGGCCAGAACCGAACCTGGTACTCTTTGGTCTGTGGGCAACATTCTTACCACTGAGCCACCCTGGCCAGGGCTAAAATGCCTATATTTTAAAATGTTGGCAAGTAATTAAAAAATTCCTAGTCATCCAAGCAAAACATGTATGTGGGCCAGATGTGGCCCACAGGCCTGCAGTTACGATTTGCGCAATCAAGTATCTACCTCGGTTTATCCTTGTTTTGTACAGGAGGGGACAGTCTCAGAGGTGACATGACTTGACCAAGGAGACCAGGCCAGCTGATGGCCACGCCAGGCTCCTCCTGTGGCCCTACTGTGCAGCTCGGAGCCTTTTCTACTACACGGGTTCACAGAGCGGAAAAGAACCGCGAAGTCCTGTGGAAACAGAAGGCCCCCTGCCGGTGCAACAGGTAACTGAAAACACTGATCTCCGTGCAGGGCCGGCGAGACGAGCCGACGGCTCGGGGCAGCCGGCATCCACCAGCGCGGCCCTACCTGCTGGCTCCTGGGCACGCCGTATCTGAGGTCGTTGACGAAGTGCTCGCAGTTCCCTTCAATCAGGCTGTACTGCACGATCTTGTTGATCATGTTTTTCGTGCGCTGGACGATCTTGTCCGCGGGCAGGGGCAGGTACGTCCCGTCCAGCTTGTTGTTGATCTTCCAGGAGCAGCCGTGCAGCACGTCCTCCAGCCGACTGTACTTTACCACCGCCCGGTTGCTGAAGATGGAGGTGATGCTGAAGGCCTCGAACTCGTCACCTGGAGGCCAAAGGCAAGCCAGCGCTGGAGAGCCGCCAGGGACAGCAGGGGCAGGGCCCGGGCTCGCCCTCAGAGGCTGGGTAAGCTGCTGTTCTCCGGGGCCTCAGTTTCCCCATCTATAAGCCGCCTGGCAGAGGATGGGGAGTTGGAGTAAATGAGCTGCAAAGGGCCCTGGCCGGTTTGGTTCAGCGGTTAGAGCGTCGGCCTGCGGTCTGGAGAGACCCGGGTTCAGTTCCCGCTAAGGGCACGTACTTCGGTTGCAGTTTGTCCCTGGCCCTGGTTGGTCGTGCGGGTGGCGGCCACTCAATGTGTCCCTTCATGTCGATGTTTCTCTCTCTCTCTTTCTCTCTCCCTCCCACTCTATCTGTACAAAAAATGGAAAAATGTCCTCGGGTGAGGAGAAAAAAAAATGAGCTGCAAAGGGCCAGGTTCCCCAAGAAGCCTCCTCCTTGCACTGCACTCCCCTCCAACCCCCGTGGTTGGCTCTTTCTCATAAAACTCTCCAAGTACCTTATGGTGTGGCCCCAGGCAGCGGCGCTCTGTGTCATAAGAACCAGACTTCAGGAGTCTTCACAAATGCGTGCCAAGCACCTAACGGGTAAGTGTCGGCTCCTGGGTGAGGGGTTAACACGTGGGCCGTGACCCGTCTCCTTTGGGAGCCACCACAGGGGCGCAGGTGAGGCCAGGCAGACAGGGCTCTGGGAGGGACCCACTCCAACCCGCTTCCACCCAGAGCCAGCCCGCCTCGCTCTCTGCTCGGATATCGGGGTTTTCAGCCAGGGCTTATTTGAAAACAGGGTTCCACAGCTTTGAAAAAAGAAGCACTTGAAAGCTGCTGCATTGTGGTATCCAGTCCTCAGAGGAGACAGAGGCTCAGAGAAGGCCGGGAAGCTGCCCAAGGTGGGTGGATTTAAAACCAGGCCCCTCTTCCTGCGGATGTGTGCGCCCTCCCCTTCCGTAAGCTGTCGGAGGGCAAGCGACACCGACCCTGGCCCTTTTCTCTGGTGGAAGTCATTTTTAGACAAAGATCTGACGGGGAGGGTGTGGACATAACTGACAACAACCTCCTTGGTGGCACAAGGGGGAGGCTCCTGGGCAGGAGCGAGGGAGGTGAAGCAGTGTGTACCTTCGTCCGTCTCTGCGTGGCTCCCAGAGCGGAAGCGGGGAAGGTGTGAGTGGACGGGCGGGAGAGGGCTGCTGCGGGAGGGCCTCAGCCAGGCGAGCGTCGGGCCGATGGAGGCAGGCAGCACACCGGGGTGAAAGCCGTGACCAAGGCCACAGACCTTTGGTGCCAATGACCTTCCGTAATTTAACCTCGAACGGTCAGTATGAGCACAGGACACAAATCCGAAAGGCATCCAAGAATCTGCCGTGGAACCCTCTCCCCCCCCTTCTCCCGGCCCTCCCAGGTCCCACCTCCTGAGGTGACCACTGTGACCAGGGGCTCTGGACGGCCAGTTTTAAGTGGCTGCCCATTCTCTGCTGTAACCTTCTATTACCGCCACCCTCTCCTCGTCAAACCTCCACTGAAATGTAACCACCACCGTCTAGCCTCAGCCTTGTGCTAACGCTGCCTGGAGAGACGGAGCGTGGGCGCAGCCTGGGGCAGGTAGGGAAGGACCAGGGGACAGGAGGGTGGAGCTGCCCAAGGTGACCCGGAAGCCGGGAGCAGCACAGAGGACAACATGAAACAGTGACAGAGCGCCTAAGCACCCCTCCCGGGGGACCCTCAGGAATACGAGGAAGAGTGTGGAACTGTTGTCAACACAGACAGAGGCTTATGGTCCTAAACCTGCCATCGAAAAGAAAGGGAGCCTGGGGACACTCACTTGCATGTCCTTTAGGGCTGGACAGGCAGAGCGGTTTGGGGGACAGTGAATTTAGGGCTATCCTGCTTCGGGGCGTTTTATTGTTAAGTGAGAGAGCAGCTGAGGGACATGAGAGTTAACTTCTTTTTGCTTTGCTAACGTAAATATCAGCGTTTCAGGCGCGTATCCGCTCTTACACGGGGGAGCCAGATGGACCACACGGTCGTCTTCCACGTAGATGGCCCAGTGCTCGTAGCCAATTCGAAAAATCTCAATCAGGTCTCCAGGTCTCGGCCTTGGTCTGCCCTACGATGAAAAAATAAACAATAATAATAAAGATGACGCACATGTCCAAGGAACTCTGGAGACCTGCTCAGCGGAAAGACGCTGCACTTCGTCATTGTTCAGACAGCGCGGTGGAGAAAGTTCTCCTCCCACACAGGGGAGAGCCCCGCCCCGCCCCCGCTGCCGCTCTCTGTTAGAGGCAATGAGGCTAGCTGTGCCCGTGTCCTGTGTCCTGCGCCCTCCACACATGCTGTGTGATGAGTGACGCCTTTCTCCTTGAAATTGAGCACCAGGTTAAGCTTTCTCAATAGAGGGCGCTGGAGGGACACTGCAAGAGGAAGGGGGCTCTCCTGGCTTGGAGTGAGGTGGACCATGGTCAGTAGTGGGTGGGAGGGCACTTCGCAGCTTTGGCCTGATGATAACCTTTCCGGGGCCCATCTCGACGGAGAAAGCAGTGCCCCCAGCCTCCTGATTCCCTCTGCAGGTCCCCTGCATGGCCCTCCGTGGCCCAGAGGGCACCCCGCGCTGCACGTCACACCACCAGTTGCTGAAAGCCCGCTCGCCACCCACTTTCCAGAGGGCTGCACTTGCCCAGCCGCAGGAGACCGGCTCCAGCCTGGCCAAACCCACTCCCCTGCTCCCCAGTGGGTGGCCATCTCTCTCCCACTACCCCCGAACCCCTTCCTCCTGGTCCTCAGCCCTGGGAGACCATATCAAGTTCCCTTGTGTCCTAATAATTCTTTACATTAAACTTCCCCTGTTTAACCGACTGCATGGTTTCTATCTCCAGACTGCACCCAGACTGGGGGAGAGAGCCTGTTCACCTAGGAGACGCTGCGTGTGTGCACAACATGGTACTGTGCGCTTAAACATTTAAGAGAGTAGGTACATCTCATGTTAAGTACTCTTATCACACACACACACACACACACACACACACACACACACACAATCAAAAAAGAAAAGAACTCAGAGCTTTTGCCACTGTGAACCCAAACTTAAAAAAAGAGCTCATATCCCATATCCCTCCTACTCCAGTAAGGTGCTCAATACCATGAAAACGCAATCTAAGTTCTGGTTCCCAGACTCCTCATCCCTCCCAAACCGTCTCTCAGTTCATCCAGGCGTGGTGCTGGAAGAAGCCCCACTCACGGACTGCCCCTGGAGAAGAAGGATGATGGGAAGTCAGAGCCAGGCAGAGAGACATGATCCACCCACTCACCCACCCAGCCATCGACTTGACAAGCACCTTGTTGCTTCCCCCAAGTTTGTGACAATTTTCCATTGGTCTGGTTTCCTCGGGGCCGTCTCTCTCCTCCCAGACCCCAGCTTTACGTCCCTGGCTGAGGACCACCATTTGCAGGGCAAGAAGTCACAGAAGTAAAAGGGGCTTTTCACCTGTTTCTTTGAACACTTTTCTGAGATACAATTGACATACCATAAAATTCACACATTTTAGGTATACAGTTCAATGACTTTTAGTAAATTGACAGTTTGGGCAAGCTACACCGCAGGCCAATTTTAGAACATGTCCATTATCCCCAAAAAGCTCTCTCAACCCCATTTGTAGTCAGATCCGGGCAACCTTGTACCCACTTAACAGTCACTTACCTTTCTTTCCCTACCCTTTCCCCCTGGCCCCAGGCAACCACTGATTTACTTTCTGTCTCTATAGATTTGCCTTTTCTAGGCAGTTCATATAAATGAAATAATATATTATGTGGACTCTGTGTCTGGCTTCTTTCACTTAGCATATATATATATTTTTTTTTATCCTCACCCGAGGACATTTTTCCATTTTTTGCTCAGGTAGAGTGGGAGGGAGAGAGAGGAACAGAGAGAGAGAGAGAGAAACATCGATGTGAAAGGGACACATCGAGTGGCTGCCACCCGCACAACCGACCAGGGCTGGGGACAAACTGCAACCGAGGTACGTGCCCTTAGCGGGAACCGAACCCGGGTCTCTCAGGACCACAGGCCGACGCTCTAATCGCTGAGCCAAACCGGCCAGGGCACTTAGCAGATATTTTTGAGGTTCACCCATGTTGTAGTGTGGATCAGTGCTCCCCTTGTGTGGTGGATACACCACCTTTCGTTTAAACAACTTTGTTCTTTTTCAATATTATTTTGGCTAAAGGAAATTATAGGAGATTTATTTTTTATTTCTTAAATTATTTTTTTCCCTTTATTGATTTTGAGAGAGAGAGGAAGCGAGAGGGAGAGAGAGAGAGAGAAACATCGATGAGAGAGAACATCAACTGGCCACCTCCTGCATGCCCCCCACTGGGGATTTGGCCCACAACCTGGGCATGTGCCCTGACTGGGAATTGAACTGGTGACCTCTTGATGCATGGGTCGACGCTCAACCACTGAGCCATACCGGCCGGGAAAAGGAGATTTAAATACATGAAAAGACATTCCACATTCATGGATTGGAAAATTAACATTAAGGTGTCAATTCACCAAATAAATCTATAAATTAAACACAATCCCCCTTGAAATACCAGTAGGCATTTTTTTGGAGATAAATTGACAAGGTTATCCTAAAATTTCTATGGAAAGGCAGAGGCCTTTCTGGCATGAGCTAGACAGGAAACGGGAAGAGAGGAACTGGAGACCAATATCTTTCAAGATATTGGCTGTGAAAGGGAGGAGAGGCGTCAGGTGGGAATGAATAGGAATAAGGGGTGAAGAGGGAACCTTTTCAAGATGTTTTTTAAAAACCCCAACAAACTAGTAAAAAAAGGTGGGGATACTTTTTTTCTTTTTCTTTAATTAATTAATTAATTAATTAATTAATTTTTGTTACAGATGTTTCTCCTTTTTCCCTCATTGATACTCCCCCCCCCCGCCCTGTCCCCAGCTTGTTGTCCATGTCCATTGTTCATGCATACATGCATATAAGTTCTGTGGTTTCTCTCCCCCCCCCACTGGGGATTGTCAGTCTGTACCCCACTTCCACGTCTCTGGGACTACCCCATTCCTCACTGTTAGGTTCATTATATTCCACAAATAAGTGAGATCATGTGATATTTGTCTGTCTCTGCTTGGCTTGTTTCACTTAGGATAATACTTTCCAGGTCCCTCCATGTTGTCTCAAAGGATAAGAGATCTTTCTTTCTTACAGCTGCATAGTATTCCATTGTGTATATGTACCAAAGCTTTTTTATCCATTCGTCCACTGATGGACATTTGAGCTGTTTCCAGATCTTAGCTATTGTAAATAGTGCTGCTATGAACATGGGGGTACATATATTCTTTCTGATTGGTGTTTCAGGCTTCTTAGGATATATTCCTAGAAGTGGGATCACTGGGTCAAAGGGAAACCCCCCAACAAACTAGTTTTTTAAAAAATTTTTATTTAAATTTTTAATTTTTTGAGGTAACACCATATTGTTTTCCATAGTGGCTGCACCAGTCTGCATTCCCACCAGCAGTGTACTAGAGTCCCCTTTTCTCCACACCCTCGCCAACACTTGTTTGATGATTTGTTGATGGCGACCATTCTGACAGGTGTGAGGTGATACCTCATTGTTGGTTTCATTTGCATCTCTCTGATGATTAGTGATGTTGAGCATTTCTTCATATGTCTCTTGGCCATTTGTATGTCCTGTTTAGAGAGGTGTGTATTTAGTTCCTCTGCCCATTTTTTAATTGTGTTGTCTTCCTTTTGTTAAGTTGTATGAGCACTCTATGTATATTGGAAATTAACCCCTTATGTGATGTATCATTGGCAATTATGCTCTCCCATACAGTGGGCAGCCTTTCCATTTTGATGATTGTATCTTTTGCTGTGCAGAAGCTTTTGAGTTTGATGTAGTCCCATGTGTTCATTTTCTCCTTTGTTTCTGTTGCCTTAGGTGATGTATCAGTGAAAATTCTGCGTATGATGTCTGAAATTTTGTTGCCTACATTTTCTTCTAGGATTTTTATGGATTCATGAGTCACTTTTAAGTCTTTTATCCATTTTGAGTTTGTTCTTATGTATGGTGTAAGTTGATGGTCTAGTTTCATTTATTTGCATGTAGCTGTCCAATTTTCCCAGCACCATTTATTAAAGAGGCTGTCTTTACTCCACTGTATGCTCTTACCACCTTTGTCAAATATTAATTGAGCACATTGTCTTGGGTCCATTTCTGGGTTTTCTATTCTGTTCCTTTGATCTATCTGCCTGTTCTTGTGCCAGGACCAGGCTGTTTTGATTACACTGGCTTTGTGGTATAACCTGAAATCTGGTAATGTGATCCCTCCAACTTTGTTCTTCTTTTTCAAGATTGCTGTGGCTATTTGGGGTCTTTGTGGGGATACTTTCTTAATCTGATAAAAGGCACCTACCAAAAACCTAGAGCTTATGTCATACTAAATGGTAAAGACTGAAAGTTTCTTTTCTAAGTTAAGAAAATAGACAAAGATATCTGCACCTATCACTTCTTTAAGCATTGTACTGAAGATTCTAGGTAGTGCAATTTAAGACAAAAGTATATGAAGGTGGGGGGCAGGATAGGGAGGAGGGTGTCTGGGGGGGAAAAGGAGAAGCATCTGTAACAAAAATAAATAAATAAATTTTTTGAAAAATACATAAAGCCATCCAGATTGAAAATAAAAAAGCAAAATGATCTTTATTTGCAGATGGCATAACTATCTATGTAAAAAGTCTGATAGAATCTACCAAAAGATTACTAAGTCAGATTCGCAAGGTTGAAGGATACAAGGTGAATATTAATAAATCAACTGTATTTTCAATAACTAGCAACAAACAATCAGAAACTGAATTTTTAAAATTTCAAATGTTCAAAATTGAAGTTTTGTACTTGGGTTAGGCGATGATTTCTTAGATACAACAATAAAAGTGCAATTCATAAAAGAAAAGCTGATAAATTGGACTTCATCAAAATTAAAACTTTTTGTTCTCCAAAAAGATATCAAGAGAATGAAAACACAAACCACAGACTGAGAGAAAATATTGCAAAGCATTTATCTGAGGAAGTACTATACACAGAATTTCTGAAGAACTCTCAAACATAAAACCAAGAGAAAAAATGAGCAAAAGATTTGCATACTTCACCAAAAAAGATACATATGGATGGCAAATAAATACACGAAAAGATGTTCAACATGGTTACTCATGAGGAAAATGCAAATGAAAACCACAATGAGATACCTACACATCTATTAATACAGCTAAAGTTAGAAGACTGACCACATCAAATGCTGATGAGGATGTGGAGGAACTGGAACTCTCACACACTGCTGGTGGGAATGTAAAATAGTACAATGGCTTTGGAAAAGAGTAAGTTAAACATACATCTATCACATGATCTAGCCATTATATTCCTAGGTATTCACCCAAGAGAAAACAAGCATATACAAAGCCTTGTACACAAATGTTCATAACAGCTTTATCTGTACTAGCCAAATGCTGGAAACAACCCAATGGACAAATACATGAATATCCATACAATGGAATATTGCTCAATAATAAAAAGGAATGGACTATTGATAAGGTGTAATTATGAGGATTATAACTCAAAATAATTATGTAAAATCATGTGAAAGGAGACAGACCAAAAAAAGGGGGGGGGGCATATGATATGATTCCACTTCTATAAATCTCTTAAAAATGCAAACTAAGCCCTGGCCAGTTTGGCTCAGTGGTTGGAACGTTGGCCTGTGGACCAGAGAGACCCGGGTTTGGTTCCCGCTAAGGGCATGTACCTCAGTTACAGCTTGTCCCCGGCCCTGGTTGGGGTTGTGTGGGTGGCAACCAGTCGATGTTTCTCTCTCTCTCTTCCTCCCTCCCACTCTATCTGAAGATAACTGCAAAATGTCCTGGGTGAGGATAAAAAAAAAAAAGCAAACTAATCTATAGTGACAGAAAAATCAGTTGTTGCCTGGGGATGGGGACAGGATGGGAAGAGGGGGAGGATTTACAAAGGGGAATAGTTTTGGTTGTGGTGATGACTTCACGGATATATACATAAGTCAAAGAAACATATGCAACGGTATATTCTAAATATGCGCAGCTAATTGTATGCCGATTGTAGGAATGTCAGTTATACCTCAATAAAGCTCAATAAACAGCTCAATAAGGCTGTTAAAAAAAAAAAAAAGGCATAACCAATATCCCAAATCAGTATACAGGTCAACCTGCCACTTAGTCTAAAGAAAATAAAATACAGTATGTGTAGAAGTCACAAGGACTGTCTAAGAATTCTTGTGATACCCACCTCAGCTGCTTGCTTTGCTAACTTGCCTGCACTCTCAGACTTCAGGGATGAATCCAACTCTGCTCTCTTCTGGTTGGGGGTGGTCTCCAAGTTAACTACCAGCTTCTCCCTAAATGAATTTTGTGACCAAATAGTTAACAAATAACGTGACTTCACAATTATTGGAAATTCTGTATTACTTCACGTTTGTGATTTTTAAGATAGCTTTGCGTTTTAAGATTCTAGGAAACATTTCCCCTGAAGCTTCCTTCTGTGTCACCATTAACTGTCGTACAAAATAATTGCTGTTCAATGCTTTCTAGACAATTGTTTTAAAATGCCAATGATAGCAACGCGTACCTTTAGGAGTTTTTTAATTGGCTAGTAATATTTTTTAAATGTTTATCAAAGTGATACTTGCATATAGCCTTTTAAAAAAATGGTAGCCCTGGCCGGTTTGGCTCAGCGGTTAGAGCGTCCGCCTGCGGTCTGGAGAGACCCGGGTTCGGTTCCCGCTAAGGGCATGTACCTCGGTTGCAGTTTGTCCCCGGCCCTGGTTGGTCGTGCGGGTGGCGGCCACTCAATGTGTCCCTTCACGTCGATGTTTCTCTCTCCCTCTCTTTCTCTCTCCTTCCCACTCTGTCTGTACAAAAAATGGAAAAATGTCCTCGGATGAGGATTAAAAAAAAAAATGGTAAAAGTACATAATGGATTATAATGAAATGCAAGAGTCCTCTGCTCCCTCCCTTGTCCCTTGCAGTCCTTGAAGTCCTGAGCTGTTTCTTCCAATAATTAGCTCCATATTTCTGAGAAATCTTTTTGAGCCACAACACTGTAACTGCAAGGAACGTGACAGAAATCATTATATTTTGTCACTTGAAACAAAATTTTGTAGAAGAGAACTGAACCCAAGAGCAAGAATATACTTTTTGGGTAGTACAGTGACACATATTGGAGCCAAAAAGACTTGGGTTTGAAACCTGACTCTGATGCATGTCCATCCTGGGTGCAGTAAATTAATCTGTCTGAAATCAGTTTGATTACTTACAAAATAGAGATGGTGATATTGGTCTCGCAGAGTTGTCAAGAGGGTTCAGTGAGAAAGCATATGTAGATATCTGACACATTACCAATCCCAAAAGGGCATTTTCTTTATCTTTCTCCAGCTTTAACTCTTCTCTAAAGTATAGTGTATGGGGGTGGGGGGAGGCTGTCATTTTCCATACAGGTGTCTGGAAACTTTCTGCCCAAGAATTTTAAAAAGAAGCAAACCGTGTTTTTAATGAAAGTGAATTGAGGAACTAGGTTACATCATTCATTAGTTACCGACTGGCTATACTGTAAGAGTCCTTCAAAGTAATTCTGTTCTCAGGGTACTGGAGAAGGCTTTGTGGCTAGAAATCACAGCAAGAAACACCTCCTGCCAGCAAGTCCCAGGCCTGGTCACAACCGGTTGTTAGGACCATACCTGCCTTCTGTTTACTAACTAGTGTAGGCTGGTTTGCACAGAAACCACATCAAGGTTTGTTTTAACAGAACTGGCAGCAAAACTCGTTCTTCAAAGGTTCTGCCACCCACAGACCCAGTCCTTCCATGCAAAGAACCTTACCCCTGCTGGAGGCTTCTGTCCTGTTCTAACGGGCCCTGCGTTGGCTGCTTGGGTGCGAGTTGGACCAACATTTGAGATCCCATGGGTTCTTCTATTTCAAGAAAGAAAGAAAAAGGCTATTTAAACCACATTGCCTTTCATGGGGGGTTAAACCCATGGAAGAAGGATTCAGGGGATCATCTTGACAGTGAAGGTGGGCTCCAAGCTCTAGTCTAAAACCTGACAGGTTGGCTAGCCTTCCATCAATTTTTGAAGGAATGAAGGGGATTGTAGGACTAGAAGCTGGAGAGGGCTCAGTTCCTTGGGAAGGAGCGACTTTGGAATTCCAGGGGACAGAATCTGGGAGAGGATGAAGTTAGAGGTGTCTCTTTTCCAGATTGCAGAAAATTTAGGGATAAACCTGAGGACAGTAGCTTCTGGGGATCTTACAGCCATTCTTAACTCTACCTACCAGGGGGCTGCCACCTCTGAAATACGTGAGTCCCAGCATGCCTGCCTCACTTTGATTAGATTAATAATCAACGATCATTCCGAAATATTCACTTGTTCTGGTTAACAGGCATGCCACACAACCAGCAAACGTCTACAGGGAGGAGTATTGAAGACAAACATGGTGACTTTTCTGGGGGTCCGACGGCTGGAGGACCTGGACAATCTGCAGGGTCCCAGGCGCGGCGGCTCAGTGGGGAGGACCCCCATTCCTGCGGGGCCCTGACTGAGACACGACTGAACGTCCAGGCGCAGGCTGACTGTCATCTCGTCCCATACCTGCTGTTCTCGAGGCCGGTTTGGGGCGGGACCTGGGGAACCTAAAGGGACGGGGCCAACACTTCTTCCCGACAGCGGGGCTCAGGCCCATCCCGCAGCTGCCGTCCGGTGGGTCCCCGGACCTCGCAAGCAGCGCCGCGCCAGGCCAGTTTCCAGTGGGCGTGGCCCCAGGTCCCCGGAGCCGCGGGGTTGGCTGCGCGGGGGCAGCGAGCGCGGGGCGCGCACAACGGTCCGGGCGCGCGGGCGGGGCCAACGGCGCGGGCGCGCTGAGCGCGTCCCCGAACAGAGGGAGCGAGCCGGCTTCCAGAGGAAAGACAGGCAAACGGGGGACGGGGGGCGGGGGGCAAGGAGGGGGGGGAAGGTCACGCAAAACAATTTGCGTAAAGGCTCGGAGGTGGCATCTGGGTGTGGCTGGAGAAGCTGAAGGGCGCGGAGGAGACAGAGGAGCAACATATGGAGAGAGCAGCTGAGGCCGGATTAGGAGGGCCTGGGAGGCTCACTCTGAGTTAAAATCTTGAGGGATTCAGTTTTGTATTTTTTTCACATATATATTTTATTGCATAATTTTAATTTTAATTATATATACCATGTAACATATACAAAAAATACACGAAGTACATGTAGTTGTAAAACATGATGATAAACTCTCTACCCATGAATACACTGTCGCAGGTGGTAACGGGGTGGTACCTAGCTCCTCCTACCTGTGCCCTTCCTGGGTCCCATCTTCCCGCTTCCCCCCAGAGGTCACCTCTCTCCTGCGTTTTGTCTATCATGCCCTTGCTTTTTAAATTTTTTTTCCCCCTTTTCCATCCCTTCTCTGCATACCTAATACATTGTTTCATTTTGCTTATTTGAAGTTTTATAAAAATGGTATCGTGCTCAATGCTATCTTCTGCAAGTTGTTTCTTTCAAAGTTATTCCCGTAATACCTACACTTTGCCGTCTAGATCTGAAATTCATCTCTCCTGCTGGAAAAAGTTCTATTATGCGAATATACCACCATTTACTGATCCAGTGATAAAGCCATTTGGTTGTTTTCTAATTTAAAATCAGAATGTTGAAAACAACCCAAACCGTGTCCTGGAGTATGCCTGCAAGAGATTTTTTGGGGTCCATAGGATGTATGGATATCTTGAGAGTTCCGCCTCCTTATTCTTCCTCAGGAGTTTCTTGTCTATTCCTGGCCTTGGCCCTTCCACAAATATTTCAGAATTAGCTTGTCAACGTTGCTCAAAGGACTCTGTTGGCATTTTGATTGAAATTACATTGAATCCATAAATCAATTTGGCAATCTTGACATCTTTACAAAATTGAACCTTCCAATCTATTACATGCTATATCTCTCTATTTGTTAGGTCTTTTTAAATGAAGTTTCATAATCTTCATAAAGATCTAATTTTAGGTATATTACATTTTCCCCTCTGCTCATTTGGAAGTTTACACTCTATTCTTTCATTTATTGACCTTGAAATTTTAACATGCTGAAAGTCTAAAAGTAATATCCTAAGCAACCCCTCTGAAATAATGCAAAGGCCTTAGAACACTTCTACTCCAATCTTCTCCTTTTAAAAAAGTTCTGCCCTTTTTTAAAATCCAGAGTTCACATTATTATTATTATTATTACCATTATTATACTATGCAGACATTTGTTTAGATTGCCTGTATGTCTGTCACTACCTTTGCTTATTCCTTTTTGCATCGCAAACCTTCCCTCTGAAGTCATGTTTCTCCTTCCTAAAATATAGCCCTGAGGTCCTATTGTCCTATAGGGAACATCTACTAACTCCTGGCTGTCAGGGTGCTCAGATGAGGACCTCAGATGTTCCTGTGGCGTCATGTGAAGGAGCTGAGCCTGGCTGGACTGGAGGGCTGGGGGAGGAAGGACTCCTACTTCTGGAAGGACCCAAAGGGAGACCCAGGGGCCTCTCTGAAAGGGTCCTTGGCGGCAGAGTGCCGGAGTAGCAGAACTTTGCCTGCACACTATCTCTACCAAGACCACAGAAGCAAAGTCCCCTGCCCTGGGACTGGACCCGCACTAGCCCGAGGGAGTCTATGATGGCCCCATGGCTTGCCTAGGGTCTGTCAACGCCTCCCTGCCCCAGTCCCCGTCCATTCCAGAGCACTACGAGGAGGGTGCCCGAAGGAGCAAACTGTGCTGCTCCACTGCCAGGCCCGGGAGCCTTGCATCTGTCCCCGGAGCTCCAGGGTTTGAGAACGGAAGCTGCACACTGCTTCCGGTGCGGTTTGGGGCTTGGGGTTTTTTGTTTGTTTGTTTGGGGTGTTTTTTTGTTGTTGTTTACTTCTTATTATTGACATTTTCACACACAAATAAAAGTAGAGGAAGCAGAATAATGGATTCTCATTTACCTTTCACCAGCTTTTCCAATGATTAACACAGGGCCAGTCTTATTTCATCTATATCCTCCCCCTACTTCCTCTGCACTCGGTTATTTTGAAGCACATGCTAGGTTCTAGATCATTCCATCTATAAATACTTCAGTACATATCTCTAAAAAATAAAGAATCTTTCAAAAATAAAAATGGCCACAATACTGTTAGCACATTTAAAAACATGTCAGTAGTTCCATAATGTCATCAAATAATCCATCGATGTTCACATCTCCCTGATTGCGTATATAATTTTTAACTGTTTGCTTGAAACAAAATCCAAATAAAGTCCGTAAGTTATGATCACCTAATGTGTCTCTTAATTTCTTTTCATTAAAGCAGGAGGTGGCAAACTGCAGCCCACGAACTAGTCCACCCCGTCTGCTTCTGTGTGGTCTGAGAGCTGAGACTGGTTTTATACATTGTTAAATGGCTTTAAAAACAAAAGAAGAATACCTGTGTGATGTGAAAAATATACGAAATTCGACTTTCAGTGTCCATGCAGTTTTATTTGAACATAACCACGCCCTGCATTTACATATTGTCTGTGGCAACTTTCCCACTACAAGGACAGACTTGACTACTTGTTGTGACATCTGAGAATTTACGGCCTTCAAAGACCAAAATACTGATTACCTGGCCCTTTATGGAGAACGCTGGCCAATCTCTGCCATATAGGTTTGTCCCCCCAGATTTTCTTTCTCCCTTGTCATTTTTGGATTGAAGAAACTGGGCATTGTTCCTGTAAAGTGTCCCGCGTAAAGTCTGCATTTTGCTGCTGCTGTGCCCTGTGCTCCTATAAACTGATAGTTGAGTCTATAGACTCAAACAAATTCAGATTTGATGACTTTTTTTCAAGAGGATTTCATTAGCGGTGATGGGTTCTTTCATCAGGCAGTAAATACATTTGCTTCTCTTTCTTTTTAGGATGTTAACAAACGGCGATGACCAGTGCTGAACTGCATGGCTGCAGGAACCAAACGTGACCGGACAGCGAAAGGAAAAGCCAGAGATGTTACAAGGTCTGCACCCCAGCGGAGCAGAGAGAGTCAACAGATGGAGTCACTAGCAGTGGATGGAAAAAACTCAAGCTGCTTTGCGTTTGGAGTTGAGGTTCCACAATAAACCATGATTCATGGGTGAGGAAAAAAGTTTGGCCGTGAATGGGGTTCAAAACAGTGACCCCCAGCCCTGGCCGGTTTGGCTCAGCGGTTAGAGCGTTGGCCTGTGGTCCAGAGAGACCCAGGTTTGGTTCCCGCTAAGGGCATGTACCTCAGTTGCAGTTTGTCCCCGGCCCTGGTTGGGTCGTGCGGGTGGCAGCCACTCGATGTGTCCCTTTCACATCGATGTTTCTCTCTCTTTCTCTTCCTCTCTCTCCTTCCCGCTCTGTCTGAGCAAAAAATGAAAAAAATGTCCTCAGGTGAGGATAAAAAACAAAACAAAAAAAACAATAAAAAACAGTGACCCCCAGATGTGCCACTTTGACATGTGGATTATTTTGAGCTGAAGACAACTAATGCTCTGCTAGCCCAAGAGAAGCTTGTAGCTCTCCCTTAAAGAATTTAAATTTGAGCCCTTACCCATAATAAGAGTTATCACCAGAAATAACTTTTTGTGACCTACCTATAGGTGAAGGCAAACTTCTAATGACTGAAACTCTGCTCTTTTTATTGTCCTGCAATGACCTTCCTTCCCCCTGAAGCCCCAAGGTGCCTGATCTCATCCTTAGCCCAGAATGCCCATGTATGTGGAGTTCCCATACAGACATGTGTAATTAAATTTGGTTATTTTCTCTTATTAACCTGTCTCATGTTGATTTAATTATTAGACCAACCAGATGAGCCTAGAAGGGTAGAAACAAAATTTCTTCTTCCCCACAGTCAGATATATGTCAAAGTAATGAGAAATGTTGCATTAGCCTATGAAGTTATGGGTGATGCTTGTTCTTGTCCCCGCTTTACAATATTTCTGTCCAAATGGTTCCATCTCTTTGGGAAAAAAAGATAAGTGCAAAGTAGCTGGCATTGTCCTATTTGCCCCCACCCCTACCCCCAAAGGGTGTATCCTCTCTCTTCAATTAGACTGTAAGCTCCTTGAGAGCAAGACCGATGGCTGCTCCTGCCCCTTTGATGACCGCAGTTCCCAGTTGTAAAAAATGGCTGGAGCCACAAAAACTCGCTTACAAGGAAGAACAGCACCAAAACGAATTGGAACTGTTTTCTCCAGAATGTTTTAACATGCTTCCAAACAACAGCACCTTCATTCCTTCAGCAGATACTGATGGAACATCCCGGGTCCAGGCCCCATCCTGACTGCTTCCTGCACCCCTCGCTCCTCCAAAGTGGGCTTGAATGGAATGAGCCACCTTGCCGCCCCCCAGGTCGTACCTCCAGCTTCCCTGTCTTTGTTGGTGCCATCAGAATCTTCCCAATCATTGGTCCAGGAAGCTGGAGTCACTTCGTTGGAGCCCCCTCCCCTGGCCTCCCTTACCCAGCCAGCCGGCCAGCCGTCAGGTTCTGCCGGTTCTTCTTGCCTTGTGTTTCTCCTACTATCCCACCCTCTGTTCCAGGACGCCGCAAAACTGGTCCCTCGAGAGAGAGAGTCCACGAGAGTCTCCAGTGACGTAGAAGGGATTCAGATAGGAAAAAAGGCAGAGAGGCAAACCGAAGTAGGTTAAGCTGTGCAGTCATCCCTCACGAGGCCATTCCAGATCAGGGACTGCGAAAGAGGATGCTGGGCCAAAGCAGGGGAGACTGGGGCACCTTGTTTTTCCCAGGCGATTAATTGGTAATTGACAGATAGAGGTAAAATCTATAATCACTTATAATCTGGGCCCGGTTAGAAAAGTATGTGACTAGTTAATGCTTGGCCCACAATTCCACATCTGCTGGGGAGAGCCAGAGACGGAGGCAGAGACTGGACAGGAGCCATAAACCATCACTTTTTACAGTCATTCATGCTTTTATTTATTTATTTTTTTGTTTTGTTAATTTTCACCCAAAGATATTTTTCCATTGATTTTTTTTTTTTTTTTTAGATAGAGTGGAAGGGAGGGAGAAAGAGAGAGAGAGACATCAATGTGAGAGAGCTACATTGAGTGGTTGCTTCCCTCATGATCCTGACCAGGGCTGGGGATCAAACCTGCAACCCAGCTATGTGTCCTTGACCACGAATTGAACCTGTGACACTTAAGTCGGTGGCCGAAGCTTTAACCGCCGAGTCAAACCGGCCAGGGCAACAGTCATTCACTCTTCAACTGCATGTTGAGCACTTGCTCTCTGTCAGGCACTCGCTCAGCTCTGAGGGTGTAAGAATAAATCTGCCCTCATGGAACTTATATTCGGGGAGTAGGGGTGACGGGGAGACAAACTTAAACAAGACTTCAATGTGCCCCGAGAGTTATGTAAGTGTGTGACAGGAAGCATAGGGAGGGGCACTGGAGCAGGGGAGCCGGCGGGGAAGAGGAAGCCCCTGCAGAGTCAGGGTCTTTGCCAGCCCTGCCCCGGGCCTCTCCCCGCAGCTCCCCCTCACTCTGGCTCAGGAAGGAGGATTTGCCTTCCCTCAACCCCGACAGACCAACAGACACTAAGGCCTCTCTTATTCTGGGCCTCTTTTTTTTCTTTTCTTTTTCTTTATTGATTTTAGAGAGACAGGATGGGAAAGGGAGAGAGAGAGAGAGATAGAAATATTCAGGAGAGAGAACATCGATAGGCTGCCTCCTGCAGGCCCCCCACTGGGGATCAGGCCAACAACCTGGGCATCTGCCCTAACGGAATCGAACCGGCGACCTCGTGGTGCATGGGTCAATGCTCAACCAGTGAGCCATGCTGGCTGGGATGGACCCTCTTATATCCAACAAGCTCTAGGGGTGCTTTAAGCCCAACCAAGTCCCTCCACGCTGCCAAAAACCGGAGTCGGCTGAAAGGAGAAATGAGATGTGCTATCCTTCCTTCCTCTGCCTCCCGCACTGCAGGCTGCTGCCGCCCCGCACGCCTGGCTGCGGCAATAGCCTTGGGTTTCAGAAAGGGAACAACTGTAGCTACTCCTCTGGGAGCTGAATTGCAGCCCCCTCAGAATCATATGCTGAAGTCCTAATCCCCAGCACCTAGAATGTGACTGTATTTGGAGATAAGGACTTTAAACAGGTAATGAGTTCAGATGGGTGGGTCCTAGTCCGATGTGACTGGTCTCCTTATAAGAAGGGGTTAAGACACAAACACACAGACCAAGGGGTAACCATCTGCAATCCAAGGAGAGAGGCCTCAGAAAAACCGTACCCTGCCAACACCTTGACCTTGGGCTGTCAGTCTCCAGAACCCTGAGAAGTTAAGTCTCCACTGTTTTAGAGCCCAGTCTAACAGCCAAACAAACTAACACACCCTCCGTTTTTGATGCACAGACAAGAACTGAGGCGGGGATGGGACGGAGGGAGGGGGGTGCATTTGCCTCGGGGTTGGGAGGCTGGGAGTCAGTCCCAGGTCTGACTCCCAGGGTGGGGCTCCAGGTCCCTGCCCAGCTGGATTTTCCACCTTTGGTGCTCCCCCCGCTTCTGCTCTATATATAGATTTTTCTACCTGAACACACCTCTGATGGAATTTCCCCACAAAAAGCACCTGCAGCAGCCACGCTCCACCCACCCAGAAAGATCTGAACACACTTCTTGGCTCTGTACCCCCAGCCCTGCCAGTGAGGACGAAAGTCGGTGCTTCTGAAGCATGAACGTGAATCAGAATCGCCTGGACCGTGCGTTGCATGTGGATTCCTGGGCCCCGCATCCCCGGAGGTCCCTCCTCAGTAGGTCTGGGTTGGGGACCCAACATTTGAGTTTCTAACAAACGTGTAGGTGATGCTGATGCTGCCCTTGAGTAGCAGCTGAGAAGCCTTGCCCCCTCCCCCTCCCCCAGGCACTAGTCCCTCCTTCAAAGCAGCCGCTTGCTCTTCCCTGGTACCCCCTGCACTCGAGCCTTTGCCAGCCTGGTCCTGCCATGAATTCCCTGCTGCCAAGTCTGACACTGGTCAGATCCCGGGACCTCCCAACTCAGGATAAAGTTGAATGGTTGTGGTGCTTTTTAAAGGGAAAGGCTGGTTGGAATTTAAATCATAACTGGACTGCCTCTATCTAAAGGATCACGGGGGGAGGGGGGCTGATAAAAATGCAGATATCTGGGTCCACCCCAGATACAGACCTCCCAGGGAAACACTCTGCTGTGGCCGCCCTGTCTATATGCAGACGAATAGAGGGAGGACCAGAGAGGGGAAGGGACTTGTCCCAGGGCACACAGCATGTCAGGGCAGAGGCTGAACAGCCCCCTCTGTGCCACGCTGCCTTTTCCAAGCCCAGGGGCTCTCCTCTCCTCCTGCCCTTTGGCACCTCAGCCCACCCCGCTTCCTTGTGAGTGCGGCTGGCCCTGGCATTTCCAGCCGAGGCTGAAATGGAGCCCCAGGGAACTCTATAACTTACAACATTGAGAAGAGTGGGGAAAAGGGCGAGGGAACGAGGGAGACATGAAAACCTCCTTTGGGGAGTGTACGGAAGGGGAGGAGAAGTTGACAGGCCAGTGAAAGGTGTCCAGGAAGCGGGGGCGGGGCCCCCATCCCGCCCGTGACTGGGAGAGGGCAGCCCTCAGCTCCCTGGGAGCCAGCCTCTCCCGCCTCCCTCCCTGGCGACAGTGAGCCCGTGCTTCAGACCCAGAGGGCCGGCTAGTCAGTTGATTGGTTAGTTGGTGTTAGTGCACGTTTTCTACCCCTGGACACGGATTTCTGCGAACAGCCCCAGTCCAACCAGTAGGGCCAGAGCTGGGGTGCGGCACCAGGGGCGGATCCTGCCCTCCCAGGCCGGCTCCAAGCAGCACTGGGGCTAATGCTGGAAAAGCTGCCCGAGGCTCTTAGCTGGGAAAGGTGAGTGCCCAGTGGGGGCAGGGCTCCTGGGATCAGGATCAGCTGCTCAAGTTGGAGGCGCCTCACCCCCATGTCACCCGGAGAGAAACTGGACCCGCTCCCTGACACCTTCATCCTGCAGCCACCCGCCTTCCACCCGGTGAGCAGCTACTCAGCTCTGGAGCCTCCCAGGGCTCAGGGCATCTCTCTTCCAGCTGGGGCCAGACTCCCAGACGGGGGGGATGGAAAGACCCTCAGTCTTGGGCCCAGCTTCCCCAGCATCTGCCCAGGAGCTTAGCAATGTGCTGGCCAGCTAATTCCCTCCCGCTCGGGTGTGAATGACTGTTGAGCCCCCAGTGCTGTGCCCACTGCAGGATGGGTGACTGGGAGGCTCTGGGGGAAGGGGACAGTATCACGGGGGGACACTGAGCACCTGGGAAGGGCAGTCTCATCTCCAGCCTGGCAGGGAGTCAGGTGGGAACTTCCAACTCAGGGATGGGGTGCAGGTTTCCTCACCTCCTCCTCCTGCTCAGCGCCCACGCCGATTTTCTGCAGCCTGGCCATGCTTTACAGAAGGCTAAGCTCCCTGCGGACTCCACCCTCCCACCGAGGAGCGCTAAGGACCACTTTCTCTTTACTTGGCCCTCTGCATCAGCTCAGTTAATTACAGACCAAGCCTGGAGCCTGGGGCGGGGGGGGGGGGGGGGGGGGGGGAGGGGGGGGAGGGTACTGAAGAGCCGAGCCCAGCTGAGCTGGGGGTGCTCGGGCCACCTCCCGCACCTCCCCAGGTGCCTGGGTAATGCAGTGAAGCGGCTGCCCAGGTTACAACCCACCCTTGCTTTTCAGGCTACAAGCTCCCACCTGGAGGGCAGAGCCCTTGGGTCTCAACTCTTTCTAGGCGATTGGGCTTCTGAGCTGCCGGGAGCTGGAGAGCACCACGTGAGGCTGCTCTGTGACGCTGCCCTGTGTTTACCTGCTGCACGTTCACATTCGTTCTGCAGACACCTGTTCAGAGCCCACACTGAGCCAGGCTGGGCACTGAGCCTATAGAAGGGAGAGACAGGGCTTCAGCTTTGTGCCTCCCAGGGCAGCCAGCCAGCCACACGTCTCCCTGTAAGCCAGACGCCAAGGGCCAAGCTGGCCATACGAGCACAGTGTTCTGGAGACAGGGAGGGGAGAGTAATTCAGGCACCAACGTGTGTGGTGCTTGAGAAGGTGTCAGAGCAGATGTCAGGAGCCTCGAGAGTCAAGTTGGATTTCCCAGGGTGCAGGGAGAGCAGCGGAGACAGCCGCAGCGAAGGCAGGGCTCTGCAAAAGCGTGTGTTGCAGAAGAATCCCAGGCAGCTTCCAGGCGGGGCCGTTGTCAGGAATCTCTCCAGGCGCCCACGTCAGGGTCCACTCTCAGGTCCCAACTCGTCCGTCCTTCTGCTTCCCAGTTCCCCGGCTCTGGCCAGTAGACGGTCCTCAGGAAGCCCCGCTAGCTGACCTCTGGAGGCCAGGGAGGTGTCCGGTGGTCAGTGAGCCTCGCTGCGGACACTCTGTGCCCTGGGAGCTGGGGAGAGGGGCTGGAGGCAGAGCTGGACTTGGCCTCCCCAGGGCCATGTGGCTTTGAGGTGAAAACCCAGGAAAGGGGAGCAGGGGGAAGACCACATTTCACAGCAAAGTGATTTTTCCCCACAGGACATCTGTTTGGGGCGGGAGGATCGAGTCTTTGTGTTCTCCTTCCCTCCCCACCCCTCCGATTTAGGGTCCCTTGGCCTTGTCTCTAACCACGGGAGGATGGTCTCTCCCCTTGTTCAGGTGGTTCCTTACATCACAACGATTTTTGGTGGCTTACGCGCAGGCAAGATGGTCATGCTGCAGGGAGTGGTCCCCCTGGATGCACGCAGGTGAGGGGAGCTCCGCGGGGTGCTGAGCTCGGCCCCAGAGGCACGGAGCGGGGGTCCCTGGCAGGAAGCGCCCTCCAGAGCCTCACCTCCCGCCAGGTTCCAGGTGGACTTCCAGTGCGGCTGCAGCCTGCATCCCCGGCCGGATATCGCCATCCACTTCAACCCCCGCTTCCACACCGCCAAGCCCCACGTCATCTGCAACACCCTGCACCTGGGGCGCTGGCAAGCTGAGGCGCGGTGGCCCCGCCTGGCGCTGCAGAGAGGAGCCAGCTTCCTCATCCTCTTTCTCTTCGGAAACGAGGAGATGAAGGTGAGCGGATGGGCATCGGGTGTCTAGAGGGTGTGTCCTTCCACCCCTCCTTCCTTCTGCTGAGTCCCCTGCGTCTCTGTGGTAAAGGGAATGGGGAGGGGTCAAGTACCCAGAGGACCGAGGAGCTGCCAAGCCCTTTTCCAAGCTGCCCTGGGCCCAAGGGGCCCGATACACGTGACAGCAAGACAACTGTGGCGCCTGGCGCTGGGAGGGTACCCAGAGCGCCTGCCATATGCCCGATACTGTTCCAAGTCCCTAAATATCAGCTCATGGAATCCTCCCAGCAACCATGAGGAAGGTACTTTCGTTCTCCCAGCGCAGGGAGCAGGGGACAGGGAGACAGAACTTGACCTCAGGGCTCCCACCGCCGACGTGGACGCTGCCAGATAGCCGATGGGGTCTCAGACTGCTCCTGGGGAGGTAGCTGGTGGAGCCAGCGGTGGAGGGAGAGACCATGGCATAGGGATCCACGCAGCCCCTGGGCCTCAGTCTCCTCGCCTGTGGGCGGGCTGCTGGCAGGTCAGCGGAGAAGGAGCTGAGGGACCGCGTGGGCAAGCGCCGTGTCAGGGGCAGAGAGGGGTGTTGGAAGGCGCCTGGGTCCCACAGCCAGCTCTGCCCCCTTGGGAAGGCCACGCAGGCTCCCCAAGCCTCGGGCCCCTTGTCTGCAAAACGCACCTGCTTCCTAGAGGTGGATGAAGGTAAATGAAGACGTTTCCAGGTAAGTGCACTCACCGCTGCCTGGCATGGACCCAGTGAGCTGAGGCAGCCCTGCGTGTCTCCAGGTGAGTGTGAACGGACAGCACTTCCTGCAGTACCGCTACCGGCTGCCGCTGTCCCGCGTGGACACCCTGGGCATATTCGGTGACATCTTGGTGAAGGCCGTTGGATTCCTGAACATCAATGTAAGTTCCCTCAGGGCCAGGGCCTCAGCAGCAGTGGCCTCTGACTTCCTCTGACACCTGGACAGCCCAGGACCCCCTCCTGCCCCAGAGGAGCCCCAGGTTATGGCCGAGGTGGAGGGTTTTCGTCGAAGTGTCAGAGAGGAGAGGAAGAGAAGGGGCCTACAGAAGGGGCCTGAGAACCTCGGACAGAAGTCCATCCAGGCGCGTGGGGTCTGGTCAACACCGAGGAGCAATGGCCAGGAGGCGAGTCACCTGGAGACTGGGAGGCGCGGGGCCCAGACACGGCAGCTGGCTGTGTCACTGCCACCGAGGAGCTCAGGAAGAATGCAGATTCGGGGGGCCCGCCTCGGAGATTCTGCTTCGGTGCGTCTAGACGGGGCCTAGGAATCAGCATGTACAAGTGCCACTGACAGGCCTGTGCGGAGAGGACGGCCTCTCAGGGCCAAGGCGACCCCTGCCAGCGTCCGGGCCCAGGCAGGCAGGCCAGGGCCGAATAATGGCCCTCGGGGCCTGTAGCAGACCTGGAACCCACTGATACTTTTCTCTTTCCAAACAGCCATTTTCGGAGGGTGGCAGCGAGTATCCAGTTGGACACGTGAGTCTCTTGGGGGCAAGGAGGGCCCTTGTCTCACACACACAAGCTGAGCCCCCGATTCTTCCTCCCAGCCTGACCTGCCCCTCACCCGCTAGGCTGCTGCTCCCCCTGCACAGGCCCGGCTGCCCTTTCCCTCACTGCACGGTTGCCAGGGATACGGCCAGCTCTGCCTTGGTCCCTGGGGAGCCTGGACTGCCCCTCCCAGCTGGTCTCCAGGGCCAGCTTGGGCAGATGAATGGGGGTGGGGTTGGGGCACGGCTGTCCTGAAGACGGTCACATCCGAAGATTCCTTTAGACTGGAGCTTTCAATTTCCAGAGCAAGCCCGCGAGGTGGCTGGGTTGACCTGCAGGGCAGGGGGGGGAGATGAGGCGCAGGTATTTGTCCAAGGCCACAAGGTGAGTGAGTGACAGACCCTCTGTCCAGCTCTTCCTCATTTTCCAGAGCTGGTGTCCATCTGAATTCAGGAGGGTCCACTGGGGCTCCAATCATTCACCTGTATTGTCTCTGAGAGAGACAAACCCCAAAGAGGCCCACTTTTTAATAGCGGTGCCAAGAGGTTCCCTTTCACTGGGCAGACGCTGGATGACCTCCACGTCCCCTCTTCTTTCCTCGACAGCCTTTCCTGCTGAAAAGCCCCAGGCTGGTGAGTGACCTCCTTCCTCATCCTGGTGGCGGTGTCGCCCCCACCTTCCCCATCAGTTAGGAGGGCACCCCCGCCGGGTGGGAAATGCCCTCAGCATCAGGGTTTCTCTCCTTCACAGAAAAGTGCAGACCATGGCAGCCTGGCAGCTTCGGGCTGAAGCTCCCGCTCCATTTGACCCTGTCTTCCTCTATTCTGCACACAATTATGTGATACTTTTCGGTGCCAGGCTCCGTGCCAGGCTCCAGGGAGAGGAACAAACCCCTCCCAGGCCTCCAGCTCACAGGTCGGTGGGGAGGCAGACCAGTTCTGGGTGCAGGATGGGGACATACATATTGCTCACAGCACAGAGGGGCGCCGAGCTCAGCCTGGAAAGACCAGGGAAAGCGGAGTACAGGAGACTGGGCCTGCAGTAGATGTCTAATAAATGAGCAGAGGGGAGCCCCTCAGCCCGGCTTCAGGCCTAGAGACAGAGACTTACCTGCTCCAGGGCCCCCCACCCTCAGCTGCTCCTGGAGGTGGTAGCCCCCCCTGAGCTGTGAGTCACCTTCTCAGTCATCTCCCATGTTCCTTCAGGAGGTGCCCTGCTCATGCCCCCTTCCCCGGGGTCTCTGGCCCGGACAAGTCATCGTGCTGCGTGGGCTGGTCTTGCAAGAGCCCAAGGAGTAAGTATGCAGATGGGGGGGGGGGGCATCCCTGCACCAGGCAAGAGATTTATATGCATTGCCCCTTTAGTCTCCGAGGCCACCCTTTAATCCCCATTTTACAGATGAGAAGACAGAGGAGCGGAGAGAAGTAAACTGTTCAGGGTCACAGAGCTTGCAGAAGGCGGGCGGGGATTGGGGCCAGGGTTCAGCCTGCCTTCTTGGCCCCAGCAGTCTCAGTCTGGGAGTATCTTCCATGCCTGTAAATCTGGTCAGGTCAACAGCCTCTCATCCCAGCTCTATTCTGGGCCTCAGGAAAGGCCCTTGAAAGGTGAGGGCTGAGGTCCAGAGAGAAAATGTGACCTCCAATAGTGACACAGTGCATGGTTTAGGAAACACAGCTAAGCTGCCCGGGGGGGGGGGGGGGGGGGGGGGGGGAGACACACCTGGTGCTGGAAGTGGGGACTTGGAGAGACACAATAACCAAGTAGATGTTGCCTAGCTCCTCCGCCAGGGGGCGCTCCTGCTCCATTTCCCACACCTGCCTGCTCAAAGCCAGTTAGACAAGGGTCTTACCTTTCTTTGTTTCTTTTTCCGTTTGTTCCTCCCTTCCTCCCTTTCTCCCTCCCTCCTCCCTCCCTCCCTCCTTCCTCTTCCTTTTCCTGGAATTGCATAGCATTTCCCGACTTTTCTGGGCCACATTGCCTGCTTGAGTTTGACTTCTGCTGAGGACACGTAACTGCCTATGCAGGTTCAAGGCATTACTTGTCCTTTCTGTGCCTCGGTTTCTTTGTCTGTTAAAGGGGGTGATAGTGGTGCTGACTTCAGGGGCGGGTAAGTGCTTATCATTTACGAAGCATGAGTTCCACAAATGTGTTGGTATCAGATTCCTCTCAGTGTGTGTGTGTGGGGGGGTCAGGTGAGTACCCTCTCCCTCCGCTTTGTTACTGTTTGAAGGCACTGACTCCCCAAACCCTTGCCCTGCATGCTCCTGGATTCTGAGGCAGGCACAACCCTGGACAGCATGGACCGCCAAAGCCAGACACGCTGGGTTGGATTCCTGATTTTGTCTCTTCTAAACGGTCATCTTGGGCAAGTCACTACACCTCTGACTCAGGAGTCCTGATTTTCCCCGTCAGTGACAAAAAAAAAGGAGAAACATAATCCCCACCCTAAAGGGAAAAGGAGGTGGTGCCCAGTGATGAAGAACACCTTCCACCATGCAACATAAACTTGGGGACATGAGACCAGGTTCATATTCTAGCTCAGTCACGTGGCTATTAGGGACACGGCAAGTACTTTAACTGCTCTTTCGCAAGGCCCGCGAGTTTGTGTGCCCCCAGAGGCCTGACAGGGCGCATAAACAGTGAGGCACCATGTTGGGAAGCTGGTGAATTGGAAAAAGTATTTCCATTGACCAACTCATGACAGATCTGATTATTTTTAAAGAGAAGCTGGAAGCCACCTTTTACATAAACTCTCAGTTGAACAGGGTATTTTTTTTTTAATCCTCACCGAAGAATATTTTTCCATTTATCTTCAGATAGAGTGGGAGGAAGGGAGGGAAAGAGAGAGAGAGAGAAACATCGATTGGTGGCTTCCCACATGACCCCGACCAGGGCTGGGGACCAAACTGCAACTGAGATACATGCCTTTGATCGGGCTCAAACCCCCAACTCTTTGGTCCATGGGCTGATACTCTAACTACTGAGCCAAACCAGCCAGGGCAAGTATTCTTTTTAAAAAAAATTATTATTCTTTTTATTGATTTTAGAGAGAGAGAAACGGAGAGGGAGAGAGGGACAGACACATCGAGGAGAGAGAACATCAACTGGCCGCCTCCTGCACGCCCCTCCCTGGGGACCGGGCCCACAACCTGGGCATGTGCCCTGACCGGGAATCGAACCGGCGACCTCTTGGTGCATGGGTCGACGCTCAGCCACTGAGCCACACTGGCCAGGCAAATAGGGTGTGATTTTAAAGTTGGAGAATAGCGTGGACCAGCCAGAACACTTCTACAGGCCAATTTGGCTGTGGGCCACCCACATCGAGACTTAGCACCGTGGTCGCAATAGACGCTGCTGCTGCTGCTGTCGCCGAGGCTATCAGAACGCAATTTGGCTCGAACCGGACAAAAGGGGCGAGAATGTGAGGGGGTGGGATTTGTTGCCACAAAAAAATCTGTCCTTCATCTCTAACCCCCTCCCTGCAAGCACTGAGGATGTGGGGTTCAGCCACAGCCTCAGAGCGCTTCAACAACGCTTCCCTGGGCATCTGGGGGAGTCCTGGGCAGGGCTGGGGCGGGGCGACACGGAGGCCCCCAAGAGTTCTCAGGCCAATGGGAAGACAAAGCCTTCTCTGGGGAGGGGCCTGGGACGGTTTGGGGCTGCGCCTGGCCTTCCAAGCTTCTGGCCCAGCGCTGAGCTCTTGCCATGCCCTTCCCAAAGCTGGGAGTCATGGAGCAGATGGGCAGGAGGGTCCGAGAGGCGTGCCAGGGCAGGCCTTCTCTGGGCTGCCACCTGAACCAAGTCTCCTCTCTACTCTCAACTGCTCCCTGCCAAGGGCCCAGTCAACAGCTTCAGGGCTGTTGTTTCACAGAAGGTGACTTTGGAGGCTCCCAGACATGAAACAGAATCTGGCTGCCCTGTTGGAGAGGCAGGTGCCAGGCAGCAGAAAGACACCCCCAAACCTGGTCCCGACTCCTGGTTCACATCCCCGCCACAATTACTAGCAACAGAGCGAGTCCTGGAACTTCTTGTCCTGCCTAGTTACCCGGGCTGCTAAGCCTCAGGCACGGGGTTTTGATGAGGAGTCCGGAAAAGCAAACCGTTGCATCTATAAAACACCTGCCGCGTGCCAGGTACTCGCTAAAGTTCACGTACATTATCCCCTTTGTTCCTCTCAATGGCCCCGAGAGCTACGTCATTGTATTATAAAGTTATTTTATAGCATTATTTTTAAACAATAGGGGTCGTTGGAGTGCTACTACAGCAGCTGCTGTTCTGAATGGGTTAACTCTAATTCTCATCACAAACCCACAGGCGGGCACAGTGCTGTTGCTATTCCCATGTTACAGGTCGGGAAACTGAGGCACGAAGACCCCGACGTGCCCAGGGTCACTAGACTAGAAAGGAGCAGAGCCAGGGTTGAACCCAGGCAGCCTCGCGCTAACCCTTAAGCTGTCTGCAAAACACTGAAGACAACACCTGGCACGTGAACTCAGTAAACGTCAGCTTTCACTAATACCACAACCACCCCCAGTTTGAGGAGGGGAGACTGAGGCTCAGGCGGGGTCATTTGCTCCCCCTCGGCCCTGCAGCCAGTGAGTGGCAACATGGGGACTCGGTCCCAGGCTGGGGCTCCATCAGGGATTTCCACTCTAAGCTGTCAAGTGTTCAAGAGCCGGTTTCTGGGGGCAGAATCTGCCTAATCTTCCAGCTGCCTCCCCTCCCCTCCGGGCCCAGCAGCCGCAGCCCAGGGGAGTCGGGCAGCCACGACCTGGGGCTCTGGAAGCTGAGCCCCTTCTTCGGCCCCTTCCCACAGCTTCACACTGAGCCTGCTGGACGAGACCGCTCGTGTTCCTGTGACGCTCAGGGCTTCCTTCGCAGACAGAACGCTGGCTTGGGTCTCACCGTGGGGACAGAGGAAGCTGATCTCGGCCCCCTTTTTATTCTACCCCCAGCGATTCTTCGAGGTGGGTCAGAGCCAAGCATTCCCATCTGGGACACTGAGGGTGGGGGGTCCTGGGGGAACCTCCAAGCCAGGGCTCTCAACCCTCTGGAGATCCCGTGCCCAGAAACCCAGGTCTGACCAGTCGGGCGGGCCCCGGCACCAGCGTTACTAAAAAGCCCCCTGGTGGCTCCAGTGTGCAGCCAGGGCTCAGGACCTCTCCTCCAAGGGAAGCAACCCTTGTTACAGACGGTGAAACTGAGGCCCAGAGCGGAGAAGAGCCTTGTGGGAGGACTGGTGACCAGCTGGGCCCTAGTCCTGTTCTGTTGCGGCGCCGGGTGCCCCATGGGCCCAGTATGAGGGCAGAAGGGGCTCGCTGGGCGGGGCAGCGGGCAGAGCAGAGGGTCCATCAGGAAGCCTGCAGGCCTCACGCCCTCCTTTGCCAGGTCCTGCTCCTGTGCCACGAGGGGGGGCTAAAGCTGGCCCTCAATGGGCAGGGCCTGGGGGCCACCAGCCTGGGCCAGCAGGCCCTGGAGCGGCTGCGGGAGCTTCGGATCAGCGGCACCGTCCAGCTGTACTGTGTGCACTACTGAGGAGGACCCGCAGAGGAGGGCCAGCCCGCACCCAGGGCCCACGGCCTGCCCCTCCTAAGGAGTCCACCTGTCACCACCGTGCCAGGCCTGGCTCATCTGCAGCCATGCGCCTGAGTCCGCAGGGGCTCCGGGCCCGCAGCAGGAGGAAGGCGCAGGGTGTGACGGCCCCTCCAGCTCCGGCGCCCGCTCCTCTAGGAGCCCAGGACTGGCCTCCGTCTTCCTCAGGGCCTGGACAAGGAGGCAGGTTGTGTACCTGCCTCAAAATCCTGGCTTCAAGAAGTCAGGTGTTTATGTCATTCTCATCTAACTGTACTGGAGGAAACAGTCCCGGTCAGGAGGGCAGCTCTGTGCCCCGTGGACCTCAGGGTCGTCCTTGGCATCACCCCCCGCCCCAGGCCATCAGCGTTGTCCGTGTGGCTCTGCTTCCCGGCACCTTCCCACACATTTCATTTTGTAAGAACCGGTGACTTGAGGACGAGGCATGGCAGACTTGTCAGATGTCACAGAGCTGGTCCGTGGGGTGCCAGCGTCAGAAGCTCTTCTGTCCCCTGGTCAGTGCGCGCTCAGGGTTCTCCAGGATGGCCCTGTGCGTGCGGTTCCCACCAACCCGGGTTCGACTCCTGGCAGCTGGACGGGCTTCGATGCTGTGCGTGTGGGCCAATGCAGCCAGCTCAGACGGAAAGGTGTGGGAAATGACGTCAGCCTAGCAGGGTGGTTGTGAGAATGTATGAGTTGAAATTGCTTAAAACGCCCCATACAGAGTTGGAACTCAATAGATGGCGGCTGTTACTGGTATTGTGAGCCATGACATGTCGGCCCCAGTGATGTTGCCAAGACCTCCTCCCCAACACAAGCAGAACCTTAGAAAATAGGGCACCGCACCGAAGGTGTCTCACCAGTGGGGACAGTGCCACAGATCAGGGACAACGTGCTCACCCGTGCTCACGGTCCACTCCCCCCGTTCGGCAATCTTCGCAGAACTGATGCCCTCGTCCGCAGGCCGGGGTCTGGATCTGGGGGCTGTGGACCAGGTTGCTTAAGAACTTCCCTGGGAATCCAAGGCAGACCGTCTCTCCCCTCCGGAGGGGTCGGTGCAGTACAGGAAGAGGAGGGAGGGCCAGGCTGCTCCGTGGGCCTGTCACTCATCACTGCCAGCGTTCCTGCTCCCCTGCTGTGAGCCACACCCCATGCCTCCTGCTCTACCCATCTGACCACTCAGGAGAGCGGTTCTGGGCTCCCTCCTCTGGGCCAGGCCCCGCGCTGGTGTGTGCTATGTTCTCTCCTTTCACCCCTCTGTGGTTCTGTCTCCTGAGCCGCAGGGAGGTCGAGCAGCGCATCCAAGGTCTCGGCTGAGGAGCGGTAGAGCCAGGATTTAGAACCACACTCTGAGGGCCCTGCTTTGTCTGTGGAGCCAGGCTGACACTGTGTGGCCCTTTCGCAAACAAGTTCCATTTGGGACACACGAGACAGAGAGGGCTTACCAAAGGGGGAAAAAAAAAAAGCACAACTCAATTAATGTACAACAAATTCAGTCTGACAGAAAATAAAGATCCAGTCTTTTATTCCCAAAGAATGTAAGGTGCCCGCAGGAAAGAACACATTACAATTCAGCGCGCACGCATTCATGCTTCTAAACTCAAGGGCTGATGTCGGAACAGAAAACCCTTCCCTACTTGTCGGGCCCAGATGGACCCCATCTCATCGCCCATGTAGACGGCCCACTGCTCACAGCCATGCTGAAAACACCAACCCGGTCTCCAGGAAGGGCGTTTGGCCTGCCTGCATCAGGACAATTGGAGGCACATGAACTCGAGCCCTCCACCCCTCTGAGAGTGGCTTCTTTGGGGGAAGGGGCAATGCTGCAGCTTCATCACCTCTTGGGAAACCAGAGATGCTAGCACTTGTCACGTGACGACACCAGTGTCATTCTTGCAGAGCCCCGTTTGGAGGCTGGAGCCAGGGGAAAACACCCCACCCACAAGACATGGGAAAGGGGGAACGCGTCTGCTTGCACATGCAGCATCTTCCCAGCGTCTAAGCACCAGGTCCACTCAGAGCAACACTGGGAAGGGTCTTGCGCCCCTTCCCTGAGTGCAGACTGACCCTCGAGCCAGCACCCAGATGCCTCATAGCTGATGCTGGGAGAGACACAGATTGAAGGGATCTTACAGGGACCAGGGTCTTGTGGGGTCCCACAGCTATCAGCAGTGGGGTGGACACCTGCTATCAGCTCTCAGTCTCCACAAGAATGTGAGGAGGAGGCATGGTTGCCCCTTGTTCAGGTGCAGGAGCCACGTTCTGAGACGGTGACAATGCTGGGTCTTTTTTCGTTTTCTTTATTGATGTGAGAGAGACAGGAAGGGAGAGGGACAGAGAGACAGAAACAACGAGGAGAGAGAACATCAACTGGCCACCTCCTGCACGCCCCCCACTGGGGATCGGGCCCGCAACCTGGGCAGTGCCCTGACCGGGAATCGAACCGGCGAGCTCCTGGTGCATGGGTCGATGCTCAGCCACTGAGCCACACCGTCCAGGCAATGCTGGGTCTTTCTCTGCCCAAATCTCTCACTAGTCGCCCCATGGCCCTGCTTTCCCCTCTTCTGCACCCCGTTCCTCGTTGTCACTGTTTCAGCCCAGGTGCAAGAATGAACACTTCAGTTCCTCTTCCCTCTATGTTCCTGACCTGAGGAATGACACCCCTTTCCAACTCCTCATTGCAGGTTTCCCAATCCCCAAACAGGGCCTCCTAAGTCATGCCCCTCCCTCACACCCTCCTTTCCTCCACACCGTCACCCTACCCTTACCACCTGCATCCAACCACAAAGTCAAAGCTAACTCTGGAAGTGTCTTCTGAATTCACTTCCTCGTCCAGCCCCCCGCCTAAGTGGCCCGCACAGTTTCCTGACCAGCCCGCTGCCTCCTGTCCTCACCGTGATGCGGTGGCAGCTCAGACACTCCCAGAGCTCCTAGGAGGGGCTGGTGCTGCCCAGTGAAGAGCAGGGCTTTCTTCGCCTTCTGGCTCATTTTCCCTGCCTTCCTGTGGGTTGCCTGACACAAAAATTTCTATTGGATTTACATATAGCGTTTTAAAAGCATCTGTGTAGGATTTTCAGTCGTTGCTGTAGGTATTGCATTATGCAAATAAACAGTATGATGCACCGCTCTCAGCATTTTCCCAGTTTGAGCATTAAAATCTTACCTCTACATCCCATCAGCAGTCCAATTTTAATATAATTGTTTCAAATATTTCCCCTATATAACCCCAGTTCAGTTTGTTCATTAAATTCTTCATATGAGGGAAACCAGATGGTGCTTCTCTGTCCCTGACTGGCTTATTTCACTTAGCATAATATTTTCCAGGACCATCCATGCTGCCGCAAAGGGGGAAATAGTCTCCTTTTTTATGGCAGGGTAGTATACCACCACAGCTTTTTCATCCCAGCCAATATTTTCAAAATATCTTTTCAGCCCTCACTCATTTCTTCAGAAGACCTTTGCTGACACCATGCCCGTTGGGAGATGAGGTTGGGCCACCTCTTTTATCAGCAGGTGGGGGTGGAATTTAGGCTCTTCACTCTGTCTCCATTGATTCCCCCTGGGGCAGCAGGGGACCGCATTTCCACCAGGAAGTCCAGGCTGCCCACCAGGGCTCTGCGGACAGCGTCCCAGGAGACAAGGTTCTCGTTTCTATCAGGATTAGGGTGATAGTCGAGTTACTCCACACAGCCTTTGCTGGCGGAGAAGACCCGGACACACAGTCTTGTGTGGTGGTTCACTGGGGGAGGGAAAGTAAGGTCATCATCATAGAGTTCGTTCTTAGTATGTTGCCCCCTTCCTGGTCCTTTGCAAAGAGAGACGAGGCTTCCCTGGGGCTCCGTTGGTCCGAGTCTGCTTGTGTGTCAGTGGCCGGTTCTGCAGAGCCCAGTCTGGAATCTATGACAAGGAGACAGCCAGGGACCCCACCACCATGTTGTTCCTCCAAGCCCCGGGCCCCCGGCTTCCCTTTCACCTCTCTCCACCTTCAAAGCCTTTCAGAGTCTACTTGTGGTGCTTTTATATGCCACACCCAAGGTCGTTAGTCGTGTTTAGCAGAGGAATGGGTAGAAGCGTATCTATGCCATAATGTCCAGATCCAGAAGTTACTGACTTCACGATTTTTGTTCACCAAAGGACACAAGGAAAAAGTAAATGGGAGAATTTCTTGTAGCATCTGAAACAAACAGGAAGCTGATAGTTTGAATAGTCATTGAATGATTTCAAATGAACCAAAAAGAGACAGAATCCCCAAATGAGAAAGAAATCTAAACGTGTAAGGAGGCAATTTGTGTGGGGCCTCCTGACCCGGGTGCCAGCAGAGAGCAGCCGTCTCCTGTTCCCAGGTGGCCAGCAGAGGGCAGCAGTCTCCTGACCCGGGTGCCAGCAGAGGGCAGCAGTCTCCTGTTCCCAGGTGGCCAGCAGAGGGCAGCCGTCTCCTGTTCCCAGGTGGCCAGCAGAGGGCAGCAGTCTCCTGTTCCCAGGTGGCCAGCAGAGGGCAGCAGTCTCCTGTTCCCAGGTGGCCAGCAGTCAGCAGCTGAGCCAGCAGCACAGTGACAACATATGTGAGCCCCACAGTGCCTGGTGTCTTGACTGACGTCCCCAACACTGACCTCGCTACTCCTTCACTTCCCCCTGGGAGTCCCCGAGCACCTTTCTCATAGCGCCTACCCCCCGGTAGCGGGCACTGAGGGGACGGACGTCTGGGACAGAGAGCTTAGCAGAGTGGACACAGCCACCCAGAAATTAATATCGGGGACTCTAGAGACCACATGAACAGAGGGAAAGAGAAAGGTCATGTGATCATCTCAGGAGACTAGAAAATACATTCAGTGTCATAAAAAAAAATCATTCCTGATTTTAAAGTAGATCTGGCATACAGACAAGGAAGAGATCCTGCTGCTAGTTATAAAGAGGACATTCAAAAACTTAGAGCAAATATACCCAATAGTAAAATATGGAAAGGACAACATAAACATGAGGATGTTTTAATTCCAAAAGATATGCATAATAACTATTAGATCAAATGTTAGAGTTTAGTGAGATCGTTGTGCACAAGACCAGGTTTTATAAATTAATAACATTCATGATGTGCATTAAAAAGGTAATAGGAAATTGGATCAATTTAAGATAAAAAATAGACGCACCTCAAAATAAATCTGTTAAAATCTGTGTAGAGGAAACTTAGAAACCACGGAGGATATTAAATAAATAATAAATATTTTATGAGGATTGGTCATTGAATCACGAATTAACTCATAAACACACAGCAATCTCAAGAAAAATTTCAACACCTTTGTATTAAACACACTAGTGAAAGAGAAAGGACCTTGAATAGTCATGAGATTTTGAAGGGCGTGAAGCTGGAGGGTGACATGTATCTCGAATGTGTGTCTATCCCATTCGCTAAATCTGGCATCAGCATGGTAATGGCGCAG